CGGATGCACGAGACATCCCGACCCCGCGCTCTTACGTAGAGGCGATTACGGGTCCCTACTCCTCTCAGTGGCAGACAGCCATGGACGCAGACATGGCATCCTGGAAGTCCACAGGCACTTACGTCGACGCAGTTCCCCCTCCTGGGGAAAACATAGTCGATGGCATGTGGATTTTCAGGGTGAAGCGGCCGCCGGGATCTTCGCCTGCCTTCAAGGCGCGTTACGTTGCACGAGGCTTCAGTCAGCGACAGGGAGTTGACTTCTTCCAGACCTTCTCCCCTACCCCGAAGATGACCACTCTTCGGGTGCTGCTGCACGTCGCCGCTCAGTGTGACTACGAGCTTCACTCTCTTGACTTCAGCACAGCTTTCTTACAGGGCAGCCTTCACAAGGAGATCTGGCTGCGCCGCCCACCTGGCTTCACTGGGTCGTTTCCTGCAGGTACCCAGTGGAGCCTCCGGCGGCCAGTCTACGGTCTCCGCCAGGCGCCTCGCGAGTGGCACGACACACTGAGGACGACGCTTGCGGCTCTTGGGTTTGCTCCTTCGACTTCTGACCCGTCGCTGTTTCTACGCACCGACACTTCGCTGCCGCCGTTCTACATCCTTGTGTACGTCGACGACTTGGTCTTTGCCACTGCTGACACTGAGGGACTGGCCCTAGTGAAGTCGGAGCTGCAGAAGAGACACACGTGCACAGACCTGGGTGAGCTGCGCAGCTATCTTGGCTTGCAGATCACCCGGGACAGAGCACGGCGCACCATTACCTTGACTCAGTCACACATGGTGCAGCAGGTCCTTCAACGCTTCCGCTTCACGTACTCCTCGCCACAGTCCACTCCTCTGCCTACCGGTCACTCGCTCTCAGCTCCACCTTCGGACGAGTCCGTAGAGCCGAGTGGCCTGTATCCAGAGCTTGTTGGCTGCCTCATGTACCTGATGACATGCACTCGACCTGACCTTGCCTACCCTCTTAGCATCCTGGCACGCTACGTTGCGCCCGGGAGACACCAACCAGAGCACTGGGAGGCCGCTAAGAGGGTGTTGCGCTACTTGTGCAGTACGTCGGGCATGGGGCTCGTGCTTGGAGGACGGGGTCCAGTTGTCCTCACTGGACACGCAGACGCTTCTTGGGTTAACGACTTGGCTACGCAGCGGTCGTCACAGGGTTACACTTTCAGCCTTGGCTCCGGCTCTGTTTCTTGGCGGTCTACCCGTTCGTCTTCTGTTCTCAGTTCCAGTTGTGAGGCTGATATCTACGCATGGGCCATGGCTGCACAGGAGTTACGCTGGCTCACCTACCTGCTGACCGACTTGGGAGAGCCGCCTAGTTCATTCATTCTCGCTTTGTATTCTGACAGTGCTTAGTACACCCCTGATTTGAAATGATTGTGGTGTTGTACAAAGTAGAACGCATTCTCTAGCAAACATGAGCACGCATTTGCTTTTTTCCTAGAGAACGACTTAGCAAGTACGGATCCTGCCCGTCGCACGCCCCGCCCTCCCTGCTGTGGTGCGCGCCCTGCTGCAGTGCGTGGCGACTGTGGGGCGCGCGCCTGCTCCTTCACTGCGCGAGCATCTGCACCCGCGGAGCAGCTCCTACCCCGCCCCCCCCGCCCCCCCCTTCTCCCCCATCTCCCTGCTGCGCGTGCAGCCGTGGGGGGGGAGGGTATGGGGGTGGCGGGCATGAGTGATCAACTGCCGCTCCTCCTCCTCTCTCTCCCACTGCTGCAGCTCCTGCTGAAGGGGGGGGGGGGGGGGGGGGGGGTGTGGGGGAGACGAGGGAGTGGCGCTAGGGATGCCGAGGGGTGTGAAAGGGGGTTTGGGACAATGCGAGGAGGTTGAAGGCGGGTGGCCGCCGTGAAATCCGCAGCTCCAGTCGCGCGTGAGACCGTTGCGCCAGTGGCACGTGAGTCGGTTGCTCTTGCCGGCGAGCGGAGCCAGTTATTCCAGTTGCCCGTGTGCCAGTTGCTCCAGTCGCCCGTGGGTCAGTTGCTCTTGCCGGCGAGCAGAGCCAGTTACTCCAGTTGCTCGTGTGCCAGTTGCACCAGTTGATCGTGCTCCAGTTTGCGCCGTGTGCTAGCAGCTTCAGCGGCCACCCACCTCCTCCTCTCCTCTCCTGGTCCCATCTCCTCCTCACTTGCCCTCTGTTTCTGCCACTAAACTTTGCCTGTGAACTGGTCCTGCAACTGCTTGTTGTGTTGGCTATCCCCCACTTCGCCTATGGGGGTGTGTCTGTTAGAAAGTAGGAATGAAGGATGAGAACAGAGAAGAGGGTTTGCACTAGCAGGCAGTTGAGTACATATAGGAAACCCTAATTTGGGCTATACTCGCTATAGAGTACCCCACTGCAGTCTAGACAAATATCACATTCTGACACACCTCCATAGTCAAAGTGGGGTAAAATCAGCACAGCAAGCAGTCATAGAGCAGGTTCACAAGTACAAGCAAAGCTAGAGGCATTCACAAAGGGCAAGTGAGGAGGAGGAGGCGGGACTGTGAGAGGAGAGGAGATAGGAGGCGACGGCTGAAGCTGCAGACACACGGGCAACAGGAGCGGCTGGCACAGCGGCTACCGGAGCAGCGCCCCGGACTACTGGAGTAACTGGCTCCGCGGTTAAGACGAGCGGCAGGAGCAACGGACCCACGGGCGACTGGCGCAGCAGGCTCGCTGGGCTACCGGAGCAGAGCCCCGGACTACTGGTGCTGCTGACGACACGACGGCTGCCTCCGCTCAACCTCCCCCAACTATGTCACCCCCCTAGCGCAACTCCCTCGGCTCCCACACACCCACCCCCCTCAGCGGCAGCTGCAGCAGTGGGAGAGAGAGGAGGAGGAGGAGCAAGGGACGACGCACACCCGCCACCCCCATACCCGCCACCCCCATACCCTCCCCCACGGCTGCACGCGCAGCAGAGAGACGACGGGGAAGGAGGGGGGGGGGGGGGGGGGGGGGGGGGGGCGGGGAAGAAGCCGCCCCGCAGCTGCACGAGGGCAAGGGGCGGCGCGCGGGTCCACAGGGCAGCTCGCGCGGGTCCACGGGGCAGCGCGCGCGGGTCCCCTGGGGCGACGCGCGGGTCGACGAGGCAGCGCGCGCGGGTCCCCTGGGGCGACGCGCGGGTCGACGGGGGCAGCGCGCGGGTCCCACGGGGCGGCGCGCGGGTCCACGGGGCAGCCCGCGCGGGTCCAGCGGGGCAGCGCGCGGGTCCCGCAGGGCGTCGCGCGGGTCCAGCGTGGGGGGGGGGGCGCGGGTCCCACGGGGCGACTCGTCGGGCAGAAAACCGCCGCGCGCCCCGAGCGCGCGGCGGGAGGAAAACGTCGCGCGCCCGGGGCGCGCGATAGGTAGGACAGCAGCGGAAGCATTAGGTGGGCCCATCCACAGGATCAACGAGAGAGGGTCGACCTGCTCGGAAACCATGTCAGAAAGTAGGAATGAAGGATGAGAACGGAGAATAGGGTTTGCACTAGCAGGCAGTTGAGTACATATAGGAAACCCTAATTTGGGCTATACTCGCTATAGAGTACCCCACTGCAGGCTAGACAAATATCACATTTTGACAGTGTCAAAATGTTATTTGCTGTGTAGGCTGTAGTGGGGTACTCAACAGAGAGTACAACCCTTTTAGAGTTTCCTATATGTACTCCACCTGCCTGCTAGTATAATCTTCTCTTCTTCCTTTCCTTCTTCGCTTCTACTCTTAACAAACCCCACCTATAAAACACTATGTCTTTCACTAAATTAAAAAAAAACAGCCTTACAATGAAACTAAAGTTCAAAAACAATCATACAGACTGATTGAAATTGATAAATATAGTACACGACCAAGTTTTGCGCCACTGTCGTCGTCCGTTCGCGCTCTAACGGCCGTCGTCAATTGTTCACTATTGGCGACGTGGTTACCTCACGGCCCGTCAACTGTTCACTCCGATGAAAAGTTGGGCGAAATGGTTACAAATCACCACTTATCTATCTGGAAATAGATAAGTCGGCGAAAACGCAGGTCTAGATTTCAAATTTCGTCTCGGGCATTTTCGATTTCGCCTTTGGCATTTTGGGGGAGTAGGTCTAGGCTCGTCTTAGCGCCCGAGCCGCGCCCTCCCCCAGCCCGTCCACATCTATTTCGGGGTGGCGGGCGTGGGCACGGGGCCCCCCTCCCGAGCGCGGCGGGCGCGGGGCCCCCCTCCCGAGCGCGGCGGGCGCGGGCGCGCAGTCCCCCCCCCCCCCCCCCCCCCTTCAAGGAAGCGGCGGGCGCGGGCGCGGAGCACCCTCCCCCGGAGGCGGCGGGCGCGGGCGCGCAGCCTCCGTCCCGGGGGCGGGAGGTGACCTGGTAAAGTTCAAGAAGTTGAGGCGCGGGTTGGCAGGGAGTAGGCTTGAGCAAATTCACGAACGCCTATTCGAGGCGAACCGAACAAGTTTTTTTTTTTGCCTAATTCGTTCGTGGCTTTTTTTTTTGCCTAATTCGTTCGTGGCGAACGTGTTCGGTGTTCGGCCGAACACGTGAACCGTTCGCCTATGGCCTTTGGCCGCGGGATGGCGAACACGAACATGTTCGTGTTCGACGGGGGGAGCCGACAAACACCAAAATGTTCGCGTCAAATCTGGCCGCGACCAAATTTAGGTCGCGGCCGATTTGTGTTTGAGCTCATTTCTTGAGCTCAAACACAAAACGACTTTAGTGTTTAGCCTTCCCTCCAACAACCGCCATAGCTTTGCGGTTTTAAGAGCCACCGCACCCCGTTCATGAGATTTAACACGCACATTTCATCTAACTAGTCCGTAGTTTAGGGCAATTTCATCAACATTAACGTTAGTAGCTAGAGGATCAAGCTTTTAACGGTCAATTAGGGCCGTGCTATCAGCTAGAACGCGATCGTTACCCGTTCCGGTTTTAGAGTTTTAGGGCCTAGGGTGGAGTTATGGCTTCCGCCGGCCAGGGAGGATCTGCAGAACGAGGTGCAGGCATGAGTCAGGGCGGTACACCAAGTTCTCCACCACAACCTATGCAGGGGCGAGTAGGGGACGGACCTGCAGGAGCCGGTGCTTGTTTCGTCGGGAGGTTTCTTTCAGTAGCGGCGCCGACATCCCGTCAATCGTTCCGTTACAGTGGCGGTCGACCCCCTCCTTCTGGGCAGACGCCGCAGGAGAGTGGCAGTGAGGAGGAGGATGAGGAGGAGGTGGGTGAGGGCGCGGAGGATGAGGACGATGAGGGGAGCGGGGATGACAGTGAGGTCGGGTGGGATCCCGAGACGCATGGCGGTGGGGAAGGGGGGGGTGATGATGATGAAGACCACGAGATGGATGGGTTGGAGCCAGAGGAGGTGGAGGAGGAGGTGGGAGAGGGTGGTAGAGGGGCGGCGACAGAGGCGGCCTCACAGCATGTCGCTGAAGGAGGAGGGAGCGTGGGGGTGGGGGTTAAGGTGGGGAGAAAGCGGGCGTTCGTTGCGGGGCCGAAGCGGAGGAAGAGGGCGAACAAGTTGAGGGAGCGAACAACTGTGCCAATCCGTCTCCAATCCATCCCCTTGCCGTTGAAAACCCTCTCTTTCATCGTCTCCACCCCCCTCCAGTTTCGGGAGCTATTGATCCTGCTAAACCACAACTGCGCGCAGAAGAACTTCATCCCCTCACGCTGTACGGTATCCTGCGACACCGTGGTCTTTGCAACAGCCGCTCTAGAGTCCGCCATTGCGGAGATGCTGGCGAAGGAGGGGGAGTTGGGGTGCAAGGTGTCGTTCACCATCGACATGTGGACGGCACCCAACGGCAAGGCATGGCTAGTGGTGACGGGTCACTGGATAGACGAGAACTTCCAGCTGCGCACAGCAGTGCTTGAGTTCCGCGAAATGCTCGGGCGTCATGGGGGCAAGGAGATGGCGCAGGTGGTAGAGGAGACGTTTGTGCAGTGGGGGTTGGAGGGGCGTTGTCTTGGTTTCACGACAGACAACGCCTCTATCAACATTGCCGCCTTCAGGCGGATGTCGGAGGAGGGTGGTGGTCAGTGCTTCTTCAACTCCCGCATGCACTTCCGGTAAGTGTGGGAATGTGCGAGGGTTAGGTGTGTGGGAGTGTGGGTGTTTGTGAGCCTTTGCGGGTGTGTCGATCCACCATGGACAATGTGTCGGTGTATGGGGGAGTGGGCCGGTGCGGGGAAAGTTGGAGGGTGGGTGTGGTCTGGTATGGCTTTGTGGCTCGCACTGACCATGTGTCCTAACACTTCACCTTCCCTTTGCCACTATTGTTGTGTTCCGCGCGTAGGTGCTTGGCACACGTGATCAACCTTGCAGTGCAGGCGGCGCTGGCTGTGGATTCCATACGACGGTTGTTGAAGATACTGAGAGAGAACCCCATCACAGTCTTCTTTGCCCAGACACAGGTATGACATGTTGTATGTGTGGGGTTTACTGTGTGGGTTTGTAAGGGTGTGTTAACACTTCCACTCAATGCTGATGGTCTAGCTTGTATGTTGCCGGAAGCCTAAATCCTCCTTACCCTCTGTTTCCCTCTTACCTCCCCCCAACCCCGACCCTCAACCCGACAGAGCTTGTTGAAGGCCGACAAGAAGAAGGTCGAGAGTCTGCGCCTGACAGACGCGGACTGGTGTTAGAATATGGAAACATGAATCGCTTGACTAAAGCAGGATGAGTAGTACAAGTAGCAACCCTAACAAAGGGTTGTACCCCATAGGGAGTAACCCATTACAGCCTAACATCACTGACATGATATAAACATGTTTTGACACACCCCCATAGGCAAAGTGGGGGACAACAAGGGGTCACAAGACCAGTCAAGAGAAGAAGCAAAGCAAAGCAAAGCTCAGGGTGGATCTCAAGATCACCACGCAGTCTGAGCACAAGCAAGCGGCCTCAAGGCCAGTTCATATGCAGAGTTTATAATTGCAAGAGCAGTACACTGATCACAACCTAGCAAGTGTAAACATGCAAGAATACTCATATATATCAGTGTACAACAAGAGCAAGGTCAAGAGACAAGCAAGTGAGGCAGAGTGGGCACAAGCCCAAGAGCAGTGCAGAAACGCTGATGATCACTAGACCCAAGGGCCTTGGTGAAGACATCAGCAGTATTGGCCCGTGTGGCCACGTAAGCAAGACGAAGCTGACCACGCTGCTGCAGCTCTCGCGTGAGGAAGTAACGGAGAGCAATGTGCTTCGTTCTGTGCTCCAGTCTCTGGTCCTGACACAAGGCAATCATGGCCTTGTTGTCGACGTACAGAACTAGAGGAGAACGAGGCCGCTCACCCAAGTCAGTTAGCAGGTAGGGCAACCAGCGGAGCTCCTGTGTAGCCATAGCCCCGGCGTAGATCTCGGCCTCACAGCTGGAACTAAGTACAGAAGAAGAGCGAGTGGACCTCCACGAGACAGAACCAGCGCCGAGATGGAAATCGTACCCCTGTGTCGACCGGGGAGACGTCTGGTCGTCAGCCCAAGAAGCGTCTGAGTGACCTGTGAGAACAACTGAACCCGGTCCTCCAAGCACGAGCCCCATGCCCGATGTGCTGCACAAGTAACGCAATGCCTTCTTCGCAGCATCCCAATGCATCTTTCGATGTCTACCGGGAGCCACGTAGCGAGCCAGGAGGCTGAGAGGGTACGCGAGGTCAGGTCGTGTGCACGTCATGAGGCACATGAGGCAACCCACAAGCTCTGGGTACGGACCACTCGGCTCTACGGACTTGTCCGAAGGTGGAGCTGAGAGCGAGTGGCCGGTAGACAGAGGAGTGGGCTGTGGCGAGGACCACGTGAAGTCGAAGCGCTGAAGGACCTGCTGCACCATGTGTGACTGAGTGAGGGTGATGGTGCGGCGTGCTCTGTCCCGGGTGATTTGCAAGCCAAGATAGCTCCGCAGTTCACCCAGGTCAGTGCAAGTGTGTCTCTCCTGCAGCTCCGCCTTCACCAAGGCCAGAGCCTCACTGTCAGCAGTAGCAAAGACCAAGTCGTCAACGTACACGGGAACGTAGAACGGCGACAGAGAAGTGTCTGTGCGCAGAAACAGCGAAGGGTCAGCAGTCGAGGGAGCGAAGCCAAGAGCTACAAGTGTAGTCCTCAGTGTGTCGTGCCACTCGCGGGGCGCCTGTCGCAGGCCGTAGACTGGTCGCCGAAGACTCTACTGGGTACCCTCAGGAAACGACCCAGTGAAGCCATGTGGACGGCGCAACCAGATAGCCTCATGAAGGCTGCCCTGCAAGAAGGCTGTCGAGAAGTCGAGGGAGTGAAGCTCGTAGTCGCGCTGTGCTACAATGTGCAGTAGCACCCGAAGAGTGGTCATCTTCGGGGTGGGGGAGAAGGTCTGAAAGAAGTCAACCCCCTCACGCTGACTGAAGCCTCGTGCAACGTAACGCGCCTTGGAGGCAGGCGGAGAACCCGGCGGCCGCTTCACCCTGAAAATCCACATGCCATCGACTATGTTCGCCCCAGGTGGGGGAACCTCGTCGACGTAGGTGCCTGTGGACTTCCAGGAAGCCATCTCTGCGTCCATGGCTATCTGCCACCGAGAGGAGTACGGACCCGTGATCGCCTCTGCGTAAGTGCGTGGGGTCGGGATGTCCAGTGCATCCGGGTCTCCCTCAGGGCAAAGTAGACGCGAGATGAGGTGCAGCGGCCGCGAGGCACTCCAGCTCAAACTGCCTGTCCTCAAGAACGTCACAGCCAAGGGCAAGCTCACCCCCAACGGACGGAGGACAGGAAGAGTCAAAAACAAGACTCGCAGCGTAGTCAAGGCGGCACAAAGCAGCAAAGTCAACAAGCTCAGCAACTAAGGCAGACGTAGCAGCAGGCTCAAAGGAAGGGTGAGTCACAACTGTGGCAAGGAGACGAGTGACAGTCGGACTGGCAGCACGGACAAGGTCTTACTCAGGGTCAGGAACGTGAGGAAGAGAAGACGCAGGAGGAGACGGCAGGACAACACGCAGTGAAGTGCCATACGGTGAGTGCCTGGCACAGCTGGAGCACGAGGACGGTTAACACGACGACCGCGAACAGGAGTGGAAGCACGAGTCTCAGGCTCAAGACGCTCAGGAGTGGAAGCACGATTCTCAGGCTCACGACGCGTAGTCAGGGACGCAGTGACCTCAGTGTGAGGAGCAGGAGCAGGCAGCGGGGAGCCAGGCAGTAGCTGTGGCTGAGACTGGTCAGTCGGTGGGAACATTAACGGGGGAGTAGTACCAGGAACCGGGAACTCAGTAGCAGCAGGCGGGAGACTGAGAAGGCGACGAAGCGCAGACGGCTGCGGCTGAGTAGTCGCACCCCTAGAACCTCCCGCTCCAGAAGCAACAGCACCCCCAGAACTAGTGCCTCCAGCTCCAGTAGCAACAGCACCCCCAGAACTAGTGCCCCCAGCTCCACCACCGGGACTGCCCCAACGAACAGCCCATTCGCGAAGCTGCAGCGGCGAGAGCGACTCCTGCCGACTAGCACCACTAACTCCAGTACCTCCAACAGCACCTCCAGTAGTACCTCCAGTAGTACCTCCAGTGTCAGCACCTCCAGCACCTCCAGCAGTACCTGCACCACCAGCACCTCCAGCAGCGCCTGTGCCTCCAGTACCAGGAACACCAGCACCAGCACCTCCAGGGCTAGCACCTCCAGAACCTGAACCTCCAGCACCACCAGCAGCACCTGTGCCTCCAGTACCAGGAACACCAGCACTAGCACCTCCAGGGCTAGCACCTCCAGAACATGCAGCTCCAGCACGTCCAGCGCCACCACCAAGACTGCCCCAACGGACAGCCCACTCGCGGAGCCGCTCCGGCGAGAGAGACGCCTGGTGACGTGCGCCATGACTACCCGCAGCAGCACCCACAGCAGCAGCACCTCCAGTACCTCCAGCTCGAGGAGAGCGAGCACGGCTAGCTCCACCACCAGGGCTGCCCCACTGTACAGCCCACTCGCGAAACCGCTCCGGCGAGAGAGTCGCCCGCCGACGTGCACCAGTGCCACCAGTACGAGCAACCACAGTACCACCAGTAGCAGAACCTCCAGCTCCAGCAGTGCCAGCACCTCCAGCTCCAGCAGTCCCAGCACCTCCAGCTCTAAGACGGCTAGCTCCACCACTAGGGCTGCCCCACTGGACAGCCCACTCGCGCAGCCGCTCCGGCGAGAGAGCCTCCTGCCGACTCGTAGCAGGACCACCAGCACCAGTACCTCCAGTACCTCCTGTACCCAGAGGACACTCAGCACCCCCAGAACCAGCACCCCCAGTGGTACCACCTCCTGCAGCACCAGAGTCCACAGCGACAGGTTGCAGTGGCGGTGAAGACGGTCGAGGCGGAAACCCAGGAGGGACAGCCAAGCGTGCAGAGCGGCGAGGGGTCACTGTGGCAGCAGGAGTCGGGTCACCCCCCTCAGCTGGGCCAGAGGTGTCTGAGGAGACCTCCGAAGGCTCAACCAAGGGGGGTGGGTCTACCTGAGACACACCTGAGAGAGCGGGACCGTGAGGAGGGAGGGGGGCTACCAGGGGGGTGTGTTGTCCACCAGGGTGAGAGGCGGGAGGGGTATCGGGGAACTGCGGTGGGGGTGAAGACGGTAGAAGCAGACGGACTTGTCAAAGGTGACGTCGCGGGAGGACAGCACACGACGAGAGCCCGGGTGGTAAAACAGACAGGGCGGTGCGTCGGTGGGAAAGCCAAGGAACACGCACCGAAGAGTGCGTGGAGAGAGCTTGCCCGCAGGCAAGTCGCGGACAAGAGAGAGGGAACCCCAGACCCGAAACGCCGACGCATCACCAACCTCGCCCGTCCACCGCAAAGTGGGGGAGGTCTCCAGGTGGGAGACACGGGGCCAGAGGTTGAGCTGCTCAGCGGCGTATCGGACCGCAAACGGCCACAGAAAATGGGGAGCAGCCGCATGGATCATGGAGGTGCGAGCAACCTCCATAACAAGACCAATGCGGCGCTCGGCAATCCCATTCTGCTGAGGAGAGGCCGGAAGCGTGTACGACTGGACGATGCCCTCAGCACCACAGAAGTCCTCAAGGAGGTGGGAGCAAAACTCTCCACCTCGGACAGGGAGGTCCTGCTGGAACCGAGCGCGGAGCTGGAGACAGACAGCGCGGATCCAGCGGATCAACACACCGTGGACATCCGCCTTGCTCTGCAAGGGGAAGACCGTGGTGTAGCGCGTGTAGTCTTCGACAACCAGCAAAAAGTAGCGCTCGCCACCCTGTCCAGTGACGCGGGCGGGGCCTCACACGTCCATGTGCAGGGTCTGCAGAGGAGGAGTGGTAGGAGGAAACGAGGAGGAGTGAGGAGCGGCGCGCTGCCGCCCCTCGACGCAGGGAAGGCAGGGCGGTGCAAGCGACCTCGGGAGCGGGGGCAGGGACCTGGGGAGACCAGACACAAGGAGACGGGAGTGCATGCCACGCAGGCGTGGCAAGGAGGGGTGGCCAAGACGGTGGTGCCAGAGGAGAGTCTGGTGCGTGAGGAGACGACACGAACAAGACGAGGCGACCTCAACCGACGCAGCTACCTGACCTGACTCAGCTACCAGTGCAGACTCAGTGGTCAGTGTGTACAGGCCAGACCCAGGCCTCCGAGTGAACGTGGCGAGGTGCTCACCAGTGCGCGAGTCCGTACAGATCGCAACTAGCTCA